AAAATTGTTAGGATTCACAATGCGAGCTTTTGCGTACAAAATTCTGTTTTTACCACCTGGCTTGGGAGTGTGAGGCCTTCTCCAAAAAGCTCTAGCGACGGATAGCGAGTCTCTGAGGCTATTTTTTAAAATAAAATTCATGCTTTTAAACAGCTTTCAGACGGGGTTTGAAGCGCAATCTAAATAAAATGAAATTGCTGTGAATAGGTCTTCACTTAGGAAGCTCATTGTAAAAGGCCCAGATTTGCGTGTAAGCTGTGCCTCACAGCATTAAAATACAGCGTGTCTCATGCAAAATGATAACGTTTCGTGAATTATGAGAATGCTCGTAGTCCTATCTTCTCAAATATACGATTCAGCTAAAGGAAAAAATAGCATTAATCGCCAGGACGAATTCAGACTACATCAAGGTAATCTCACCTCCTGCCAGTTCATACGACAGTATTCGTCAACAGCCTTCTGCGTCTGACTGCGAGTCAAGTTTATTCCCGGGAACTGGAACTCAATGAAGGACATCTGATGTTGAAACGCGGCGAAAGCCTAAAGACGGTCAAAAAGAGCATGGGAACTTTTGGAACAAAATTCGCAAAATGCCATAGCAGAGCGAGTCGCTGTCCGTTTTGTGAAGTACTTGGGTGACTAAAAGATGCATGAGCCCCTGCGATTGGCTGCCCTCGGGGTCAAATGCTATTCCGTCCGTAAAAGGCCGAGAAATAAAACCTTTCAGCACTATAAGTAACCTGAATGTACAGAGATGCAGTGTCTCGATAGAGGTTGGTGGCTAAAAATGTGTATTTCGACACGTAGATTACAACAAATGACATTTTCAACCATAGGGTTCAAGTCCTGTATCAAATTCACATACTCTTCCAATATCTGTTCTTATTCTAGCTGCTAAGGAAAGTTTACCGTTAGTTGACTAATCGAGCGATGGACTCAATTCCAGTTAGCTGAGGGTCGTTGTTGTGGCTGCTTACAGTCAAGCTAGGACTTAAATGCGCAGGAAACTCCTCATAAGATACTTCAGAGAGTTTTCCCGTTGGTATGCAGTTCTACAATTATGAATATAGAAAAACGTATTTCCCTCTTTTTATGTGGCATTCTTTGTGGGAATTCATGAATAGGAATTTATTCCGCCTTTCACCAATTTATTTGTAGGAAAGACCCGTTCGAAGGGTCTCATTGACTAATTAAAATTTAGTACATCAGAAACCAGTAGAGAGCTTTGACAGATTTCAGTAATTCATTGGTACAATGCTAGTTTAGGTCCCAGATCAGCACGCGAAACCCACATCCTTCTGTAATGCAGAACCGAATGAAATAAAGAGTAAACAGTCCGTGCAAAACAAAACAAAGGAAATATAAATAAAAGTAACGTTTATAAAAGTAGAAAAAGCAGGAATAATTATTTAACTGCCCCAATGTTTGTCAACAGAAAAGTGCGCCATATTTAAAATTGGCATTTATGCAAATACTGTCAAATAAAAAAATTAAAAAAAAACAAACTAAAACTAAAATCAACGGACTAAACTAGGTAAGCTAAATTAAACTCAACTGACTTTACTTTAAAAGTGGTCTAAAACTAAAATAAAATAGCAAACCTAATGAATAACTGGAAACCGAACTTAAATATAAATCAGTTAAGTAAACCAAATAGAATAAACTAACGTAAAATTGTTGCGCATGTAAACTGAAGGTGCGCGCGGCGTTTTGCGCCGCGAACTATACTAATCTATCTCCAGGACGGTAAGCTGGAACCCAGGTTATTTGAACTAGACGACCTCCTAAACACTAATTTTTTCAGGAATATCAAGCAACCCAATAAACTATAAAAAGAAAAAGTAAAAAATTTCCAAATAAATAGTAAGTAAGTAATAAACATCAGTGTTTATTATGATGTTATATAATGTTATTTATAGCGCATAACCTTGGTGCGAAAACATTACATTATTTAAACAATCTCTGGGACCTAAACTAGGATTCCACCAATTCATTTGACCCACTCGTAAAGACCTCGGCGGCCCCCGTAGGATTCGAGTCCACGCCGGCAAGCGGAAGGCTTTAGTACAGCCAACACGCTAGCCAACCGAGCTACGAGAAACTATCACTCTAGTCTACCTTGTCTTTTGTCTTTCTACGTTTCCTTGCAGGAATTGTGCGACTCCA